GCTATAGGGCATGTGCGCTCGCCAGACAGAGACATAGAGACAGAAAGCGAGAAATCATCCCCCAGGGGGGATGGTCACGCCACAATCCCTTCTCCTCCGTTTCTCCTCTCGGGATTTTGGGCACACATGCACATGCGCCCGGCGTGAGTTTTAAGCCACCGGGTCCGAGACGTGAACCACGGTCAACTACGTGGGAGTCCAACGACATAGCCATTACGCTAACTGCTGGTTCCCAAAAAAGAGAGATTTTTGTGATAGAGTGCACATGCTTACTGGAAAGACAGAGACAGAAGGACAGAAAGGGAAAAATCTCCTCCCCCAAGGGCGGTAGGGATAGCCACGCCACAATCCGGGACTTGAACAGCAGTCAACTGTGTGGGAGTCCGGCAATGTAATAATTATGCCATCTGGTGGTCCCTCTATATTCTCTTGTCAAATTCAAAATTATGTTACTGAGAACTGTAAGGTTTCTATTTTTCTAATATATTTTATCCATGCAACTTAGTGAGTCAGAAAAATTATGTATTATTACTTGGGCACACGTAACAACACTGGAAGTCAACAATTACAAGAAATGCTCTTAGAAAACAAAAAACTACAACCAAAGAAACTGCTTAGCCAAGACCAGCAGATGGCATGGTGGTTGAGGCACCGAACACGCCCATGTGGACAACCAAGTTTTGATTCCTGAACCTGGTGGCTTGCTTTCTCACTTTCTCTCTCTCTCCCTCTCTCTCTGTGTGTGTCTCTCTCTGGTCAAATTAAAATAAAATGAATGAATAAATAAAAATAAAATTTTAAAATTCTAAAAAAAAAAAAAAGAAAGAAAGAAAGAAGCTGCTCGGCTGCTGCAGTTCTTCTAGTCCCACAGGCACAGCGCGACTTCTGTGTCCTGTGAGCCAGTGCTCACATGAGCTGCACACTTACGTCACGAATGGAGTCTCTAAAAATAGCCCGTATTTATGGTACCCTTTTCCCTCGATAACATCTGGCAAAGCAGTATTTCTAATGTTTCACACTGAATTATCTAGAGGAAATAAAGCCTTTTTAAATTCTCTAAAGTAGGGATCGTTTTGTTTTCTTTTGTTTCACTTAAGAGAGAAGAGCAAAATCTGCCGAATGTTATTTTAGTAGATAACACTGTCTTTATTTTTTTCTTTTTTAAATAATCATTTTATTTTGGGGCCAGCAGGTGGCATGGTGGCTAAAAGCACTGGACTCCCACATGGCCAACCATGGTTCAAGTCCCAGACCTAGTGGTTTGCTTTCTCACTTTCCCTCTCTCTCTCTCTATCTCTCTGATCAAATTGGAAGATAATAATAATAATAAATGAAGTTATTAATAATAATAAATTAAATGACGTTAACTTTATTTATTTATTTATTTTAATTTCCCCAGAGAAGAAGAGAGTGACAGAAAAAGAGAGAGAGAGAGAAAGTGAGAAAGCAAGTCTCCAGGTCCAGGACCTGAACCACAGGGGATAACAATGAGATAGACCAGGGTCCTCAACAGAGATGCTCTGAATAATGGTCAGATCCAACAACAGGGATTTAATGGTGCTTTCCCCACCATTCACTCCCTGTCACAAGACAGACTTGGAAAACCAATTGCCAGATCTAAAAGTCCTTGCTGTGAACCAAACTGAGGCAGGTTCCTAAGCCAGCCAGGAGCACAGGCATTAAAGTGGCTGGATCTCACATAACAGATTTTGTGGTTCAAGTCTCAGACTAGGCAGCTTGAAAAACACACCAGGTACATAAGCATGTGTGCCCAAAATTCCATGAGATTTCTCAGGGGGTGCTTTTAAGACACATCGAAGCATTAACTTCAAAGGCTGTGGTCCAAGGTGGGCAAGCAGGAAACAGCTGGCTTTTAAAATATGATTGACTAGCTGCACCAGAGGCTGAGGAGAGGTATTAATCATTACAGGTATCAATACTGTAATTAGCGGCTTTCAAAAAGCCAGGCTTTGTGCATTGGAGATGTGGAAAAGCTGACACTGGACCATAAAAAGACACAACCATGCACTTGGACAGTAATCACCGAAACAAGTAGGTATTTCCCGGTCCCTACTATACATCTACCATTGCAACGTTATCTCTTAGTATAATAGCACAGTTTATATGTTTAAATAAGGTTTTTTTATTTATTTATTTTCACCCATTTGACTTAAGCATTTAAATAAAATAATTATTTCGAAAAAATAGAAAAGTAAGTGTCTGGGTTGCCCCCATGGTCTGTTGATTGAAGGGACCAGATCCCACATGGTAGACTGTGCAGCTGGGA